TCTCAGCTTATTCAGGTCATTTGAACAGGTACGCATATACTGCAGATGGCAGTTTTTTTTTTAATATAATAAAGCTGCTTCATAAATCAGAGCATTGTTGCTGTTTATATTTAATTTAGTGACGTCACAGCATGTTTGGCGGCCATATGCTGTGTTGGGATAATGAGATGCAACCATCCTGTGGGCTCATGTTTGCTTTATAAGTACAAATTCTGCTGATTTTCGGAGCTTATTTCAATGAGACAGCTGAAATTGCACAAATAAACTTTAACATTAATAAAAGATGCATCCTTTTAAATAATAAATTATAATTTATGCAAGCTTATAAAAATGACAGAATGCCAGGAAAGATGTTTTTTTTTTTTTTTTTTAATAAACACAATAGGGTGGTTTAAAACATAGTCTAAATTAATGCTGCTGTACACTGTATCGTTAAAAAAAGGACATGTCATAGGATATTTTTGTGTTTATTAATCTTGGTAAATCTTGTTGCACATTTTGGTATTCATCACATTCATTCATCTATTAGCAGGAACAGTGAGCTATTACTAAACTGTGCATGTTTTTCTTCATTGCATATCATACTGTACCTGTGTAGATTCCTCCATCAGCGGTTGCTTTTTAATGTTGTTTCCAAATGAGGTTTTATGATATTTAAAAGTGCATTTTAGGTGGTGCATACAGTTAATGTCACTGTATGATGACTTTTTGAGCTCTGAATGAAAGTTTTATGAGAAGCATTTGAGAGTGAAAGTCTTTTAGGCAGCCAGAGGGAAATTTATTTCTATTTCATACAGAAGTATGTGAAGTAATTTTGTGCAGCTAGGTCTTTCAAAAGGTCTATTTCTGAATTCATTTTGCCGTAGCTTTCTTATCAGATCCTTTCATAATTCTGTGCAAGACTCATCCTCTCATATTCTGGCTATTCAAAAACAGAAGCATGGAAACAATCTGATGTTTCAATTTCTGCCTTTCATACCTCTGATTTCAGGAGAGGGTTTGAATATGTTCAACACCTGTTTTTTGGATTGCCGGTGATTAGCTTGATCAAGGGCTATTCAGAAGCTGCTAGTTGACATAATTAGTCTGGCGCTTTGTCAGTTTATGGCTTGTAAATGAGAGTCATTATGGCAGAATGCTCTCTAATATCCTCATGCTGTCTGAACTCTGCAGGTGGGGCCGAGATCCTAACCGCCTTTTGCTGTCTCTCACAGAAAACCAAACGATCAGAGTGTTTTGGGCTCTTCCGAGAGAACTTTTTCTCTGGTGATGGTTTCTGTACTTACATGTGTTTCTAGTTTTCACAGAAAAGACAGAGGAACCAGTCAAATACACCAGTCAAACCATGATCCTTGGTTCAAAATCGTGGCTGATATTACTTACAGTTCATTCATCAAATACAAATCGGAGGTTAAAGGAATAGTTCACCCAAAATTTAAAATTTGCTAACTCGCCCTCAGGCCATCAAAGATGTAGATGTGTTTGTTTCTTCATCGAAACAGATTTGGAGAAATGTATTATTACGTCACCTGCTCATCAATGGATCCTCTGCAGTGAATGGGTGCCGTCAGAATGAGAGTCCAAACAGCTGATAAAACATCACAATAATCTACAGTTAATCCACATGACTTTAAATAACGTCTTATGAAGTGAAAAGCTCCACATTCGTAATAAACAAATCACTGATACATTTTTAACTTCAAATCATTGGTTCCGGTCCATAATCCAGGTACAAGTAATCTCAACTGAATCAGGAAATGAAATGTTTACATGTGAAAAAAGTCCAGTTCTGAACAAATATTTCAATGGATTTTGATGTGAGAGGACAACAGCGGATGGACTTTTTCACTGGAGGAAGCGTTATTATGGATTATAAATTAAAATCATAATGATGGATTTGTTTATTACAAACATGCAGATTTTCACTTCACAAGGTATTTATTAATGGACTGGAGCCATGTGGATTACTTGTGGATCATTGTGATTGGCTGTTTGGACTCTCATTCTGACGGCACCCATTCACTGCAGAGGATCCATTGGTGAGCAAATAATGTAAAGTATAATTCTCCAAATCTGTTGATAAAGAAACCAAACTACATCTTGGATGGCCTGAGGTTGAGTTATTTTTCAGCAGATTTTCATTTTTGGGTGATCTATTCCTTCAAGTTGGTTGCATTGCATTGTGGCAATAGCAGGCTCGTCTCAGGTGGTGTTTCCGTCTAAAGAAAGACGGCAGATTATAGAAGACAGACAGCACAATACGTCTGGAACCATGTATTGTAGCTTTTTATCGGTGTGTGACCATGTAAATCCCTTAAAGTCTGCCACACACATTTCCTTTTGTGTTAAAATGGCATTTAAAACACTTTATTTAATCGGCACGCTGTGATGGTTCATGTATTGATTTCAAGTGTTTTCATTTCAGCCTAAAGGATGGCGACATCGACTTCCTGGGCATCAATACCCATTAACCCTTTTGAAAGCGCAAAGCTGAAACTCTTTACATGCCAGGCACCTGCAGCCACACAACCATAAAATTGGTATATTTAAGAGGAAGATTATAAGTTGACATTTTGACTTTTAAAATGCCACAAGTTCACTGGCCTCCTAATCCCCCTCTTGTTATGTGTGACATTTCATTATTTAGTATCCTGAAGGTTTCCTTGGCATCTGATTCGAATGCAGAACAGGGTACATTTTCACACACGCTGACACTAAATAAGGATCTTTTTAATGAAGGTTAAAAATTGACTGTTCTGATTTAACTCGCTTCATAAAAGGAAGTAGAAGTACTGCATTTTTAAATGCTCGTTTTTTTATTTTCCCTTTTTTATTTGAAGAAATTTCAAATTTGAGTTCTCTAATGGCATTTAGTGAAACAGAAAAAACAAGCTTATTTAGCAATGAAAAACAGCTGTGCTCTTTGATCTGTTGGCATATTTCCCATATGCCTGCATAAAGTTGTATGAGAGAGTTGTGGCCAGTCTGTGCTGTGCCCTTAAATGTCACCCTGTAGTATGTTAGAGGAAATATCTGATTTATGACATATCAAACATTTCACCAACTTTCAAGCCTTGATTTCTACTTTTTAAGCCATTTACAACAAACCTCTGCCTTTTGGCACCTAAAGGTGTATTTTAATTTATTTTATTTTATTTCTGCCCCAAGCATTTGGTGGCGAGTCTGAGTCACGAGATAGACATCTCTAGAGTTTGTATAATTATATGTACATTTAATTGCATTTTGTGATATTACTGAGAGTTTGATAAAATATTAAATGGATATCTATGCTGTATATGAATTATCTGAGGTTTTCCGCCAATGCTGAGAGACATTGTCTGGTAACATGACTGCTCAATATCTTTAAATAAAGTGACAGGGAAAGGTGTCTGTAGAGCCCTTGAGCTCATTTGTCAAAGAGGAGACTCTGTGTTTTGGCAGGGTCAGAGCAGAGGACACTGGTCTCTCAAAGGCTCCAGGACAAACAGACTTTTCATGGTGTCCTTCTGCTACAGCATTCAGACGCCACTGTATTTGAAACGGCTGCTGCAATCGATGCCCAAACCATCTGAATTCTGCATCAGAGACTGTCATGCTGTAATAAATGCACTGTTGATCTTCTTCAGTTTGAGTCTCTTCTCCCTGTTCTTTCTTTAGAGGCAGAAACACAGATAACTGATTGCATTTTTTTCCTTGTTATCATTTTAAGTGCCACAAACTTGAATTTCTTTCAGATCTGACACGAAGCTTGCAAATTGGAGACTAGATCTTCTGAAGTGTTGTTCTAGCACCCTGGGAATATGTAAACCAGTTGGACTGATAAAATCTAATGCAGCCTGACTGCTACATATTGCTCAAGCTGGCCAAACAGGGCATAATTTAGTGTATTTTATCATTTTAAATTATATTAAAAATAAATAAATAAAAAAAAATTGTATATGTGTGTATATATATATATATATATATATATATATAAGAAGAGCATTTAATTAAAATAGAAATCTTTTCTAATAATATACACTATACCGTTCAAAAGTTTGGGGTCAGTAAATTTTTATTCTTTCTTTTTTTGAAAGAAATTAAAACTTTTATTCTTCAAGGATGTGTTAAATTTATAAGTGATAGCAAAGATTGATATTGTTAGAAAAGGTTTATATTTGGAATAAATGCTGTTCTTTTTAACTTTTTATTCATCAAAGAATTCTGAAAAAAGTATCGCAGTTTCCAAAAAAAATATTTGGCAGCACAACTGTTGCCAACATTGATAATTCTAATAATAAATCAGCATATTAGAATGATTTCTGAAGGATCATGTGACACTTTATACTGGAGTAACGGCTGATGGAAATTCAGCTTTGCATCACAGAAATAAATTATATTTTAAAGGATATTAAAATAGTAACCATTATTTTATATTGTAACATTTTGCAAGATTACCGTTTTTTTTCTGTATTTTGATCAAATAAATGCAGCCTCGATGAGCATAAGAGAATTCTTTAAAAAACATTACAAGTCTTACTGATCCCAAACTTTTGAACGGTAGTGTTATATACTGTACATACATAACTGATTGGATTTTTTCTTCCTCAAACTAAAATGACTTTCAGATATGGTGGCATGAAGCTTGCAAATGCCATCAAATTCAGAAACTAGATCTTCAGAAACTTGCATTTTTGTGTGCAATATGCATTAACCAGTCACTAAATTTAGATATGTAGATAAAGCTGTGTGTGTCTGAGACTTCAAGTCCCTTTATGCTACCGACTGTTCCTGGCCTCTTTAATTGGTTCGACACTCCCTTTGGCTCTGAAAGTTCTGACACTAAATACAATACAAGAGGAGGCCAGCTGAGATGTTAAGAGATTTCTGTGCTAAAAGTAATTACTCCCATTTAATTGCAGTAATTAGTCCAGTTAATGAGGAATTTGGCTAAAGCAGTGTGTGATTCAGATGTAGCTGCTGTTTGTGAGCTTGTTTAGGTGTTGTGCTGTTTACCTTCACGGTGATTTGACAGGGTGACAAAGCCACGGTTGGACTTTAAAGCTCTTCCGTTGCTACGGGAGACGTATCTCTGGATCTGCCATGCCGTCAGAGCTGTTCGCACCAGCCCGTCCCCATCATCCGAAACAGAGATGAAAAATGTGTGTTTTAGAGGAGAACAGTGAGCTCAGTACAAACACATTTACACTATTTACCCACATACAAACACTCATTTTTACCCCCCCCATCCATCATGTTATTATAGTGTCTGAAGCATATGAATGTTTAAAAAGCCTGAAAGATGCATTGAACCAATATTTTGTGAATATTTCATCTAGCTCTTGGTGTGAGCAAACCTTAAACATAGTGAATTCACAAGAAATATGACCAGCAGTACGGTTGATAATCCGACTGACAGTTTGGAGTTCACACAGTTCATTCAATGCATAACCGCTCTAACACAAATTAGCTCAAATAGCTCAAGTGGCACCTGGTCTGCTCTGTCAGAAGGTGAATTGGTCATTAGAGGTGTAAAGCTCATGCATCAGGACTCCTACCGGGAACTGCGGTCCTGGTTCTCTTCAGACTTTTCCTGGGTCTGACTGATTATACACACAAGAGAAGCTGATGAGAGAACAGAGCCAGAGTCAGTGCTGCCAATCACAGCTTGGGGTTCCTCACACCACAACGCCAGGAAAAAAAAGACCCAGACAGACAGGAAGACATACAGTAGATCTGTTAAACCCAGTTAATGAAATGAAGTTTGTTAATGAAATGATACTCTAGCATACATAAATATTGGATTAACAGTTAAATGTTTAATTAGATCGATCTTTTTAGGAGCTAATTTGGAGTTAAATTTGTATGTTTCTAATCAACATTTCTACATCATTTTGAATAAATTTTTTATTGATTTTGTTTTTGCAGATAAACAAACATCACTACTCAAGGCAGCAATTGAGTAATCTTTAAATGCTTGTTATACCAGATGTATTATTATTCAGGTTAGTTGCTAAACATATTGACCTTAACTAACTTGTGGAGCAAGACTGTCTTCAAACTGTTGATCTGATATGACAGTAATTAAACTACTGTCTAGAGAAATCGAACTATAGAAGATGACATTTACACTGTCGCTTGTAGTGCCCCTAACTACTAATTGTGTTGCTTTATGAAATGCAATTTTTATAAAAGTGTTTGAATTCTATGTAGGCAAGACAAGTTTGTTATATACTGTAAATGATATAATTATATATAAAAAGGATTTATAAGAAATAAAAATAAATTGACTTAAAATGCATTAAAAACAAAAAAGAAACGAGAACAATGCATAAAAGTGCAATCTAAAGAAAGTACCTTAGAAGCAGTTATTATAATTAACTTCAAACTTAAAAACATCTGAAATAAACATTGTTAATTATTTATTTAATTAACATTGTTATTTGTTAATTAAGCTAAAATAGCATACATATCATATTTATAATTCATTTTAATATAAATTAAAATATTAATATTAAACTAAACTAAAATTGGACTAAAATATGATTCATTAGAAGCACTGAAATGACTAATTGGAAATTTAAAAAAAAAGTGAAATAAAAATAAATGATGCCTAAATAGTAATATTTTAAAAGAACAAACACTAATAAAAATGACAAAAGCACATATAAAAGCATATTTGTTATATATTATAAAAAAAAAAAAATATTAATTTAATTTGTGAAACAATGCTAAAGTAGTATGTAATCTGTTTATGTACTATAGCACAAATCTAAATAATGTGTTTAGTGCACTTAGTTTCCTTGTGCATTTGTTTTTCAGTGGAAAGTGGAAGATCCAGATCTCCTGCCTTGAATATCTTACACAACAAGGCCAAAGCAACTCACTTTCTTCTGCTCTTCGTGATACTCATGAGCTGAACAAGTGTTTTTCATGCTTGAAAGCATCTTTATTTCACTCGAGTCCATCTGACCTTGAAAGAAACAAAGTGTTCTCGATTTTCCAAGTTCAGGGATTGTTGTGAAATGTACTTTCGGAACATTGCACGCAGGTCAAGTCTAGACGTTCATATGTTTAGAGGTCTGTGGATGTTTGCGAAACAATCCGTGGTGTTAAGAAGTCAGTTTCATACCGCGCACGTCCCGCTGCTCTGTTGCCCCGCATCAGTGTGTTTTTTCCAGTCAGAGACGAGCAACACCTCACCCTGTTAAATATTCATACACTTAAAAAAATCCTCTGTGTTGACCCAGACAGACAGCCCGGGAAAACCTGTATATTCATTACTCATCATTCATTGCATAAATTGAAAATATCCAGTGGGACATATCCAAAAGTTGTTTCCATGGTAATTTGCTGGAGAAGCGGCACCCAGCGGGAGCTTCCAAATAAACCGTGCAAAACTTGAGAAGTTAACAAGACACAAGGGGAATACATTCTACACCATTAGCATCAAGCCTTTCTCTCTCTCTTCCTCTCTTTCTGTCAATCCATGACTTGCTGTCTCAGACGTTTCTCATAAAATTCCCTAGGATAAATAAAATAAATTGTTTGCATATAGAGAATGTATGAAAAATAATATGGATTACTCAGATAATTTGGTTTAAATGTTTGAATAAATTCAGCTTCAAAAAATTGAGTTTTTTTCAGGAGTCTTTGATGAATAGAAAGTTCAAATGAGCAGCATTTATTTGAAATAGAAAAATTTTGTAACATTATAAATATTGTTACTGTCACTTTTAAATAAATTTAATGCATCCTTACAAAATAAAACTATTATTATTATTATTATTATTTTACTTGCTGTAAACTTTTGAATGGTAGTGTATCGTGGTTTCCACAAAACTATTCAGCAGCACAACTGTTTTCAACATTAACAGTACAAATTTTTTGAGCAGCAAACCATTATATTAAAATGATTTCCAAAGGATCATGTGACATTGAAGACTGGAGTAATGATGCTGAAAATACAGCTTTGTTTTCAGATGAATAAATTAAATTTTAAAATATATTAAAATAGAAAACAATTCTGTTATTTTAAGCTGTAATAATATTTCAAAATATAACTGTTTTACTGTATTTTTGATTAAATAAATGCAGCCTTCATAATGTTATTTAATAATTTTTTTTCATTTTAAACATTTTTCTTAACTATTCCTTAATTATTCCTTTTGGCCGTAAAATATAATTATGTACCTAATGTGCCTTGTATTTATATAAGGATATTAACTTCAGACATATTTTTCTTGATTTTATGCTCCGGGTTGATGGGAGACAGGCATATATAGAGTAAAGGCTTCTGGGAGACTTCTGAGCTCATCACAGAGCATCTAATCAGCCCCCTCTCTCTCTAAGTTTTTAGTAACCTTGACCTTTTAAACATTTTTCTTAACTATTCCTTAATTATTCCTTTTGGCCGTAAAATATAATTATGTACCTAATGTGCCTTGTAATTATATAAGGATATTAACTTCAGACATATTTTTCTTGATTTTATGCTCCGGGTTGATGGGAGACAGGCATATATAGAGTAAAGGCTTCTGGGAGACTTCTGAGCTCATCACAGAGCATCTAATCAGCCCCCTCTCTCTCTAAGTTTTTAGTAACCTTGACCTTTCCTCTGCAATAAAACCTGCCTGCCAATCACAGATGTCTATCAGGACTCGTCTCAGAAGAGAGAAGCAGGCAGAATAAAAGAGCAGAATATCAAGATTTTCTTCACACATTGTATTGCATATCTCCAATGTAAAACCCAGCTGATCAGGGGTTTGATTTTGGACTGACTGATTGAAAGGTCACAGAAAAATGTACCTATAGGTGAATGTAAAACTAATTCAGGTACATATGCATATGTACAGAGAAGATCAGAAAACACCGTTCAGAATCACTGTGCACATTTATATCATCTCACTGACAGCCCATATACTGCATGTTAATTTACTCCAAGAAATAAAAAATTAAGCAAGCGCAAATAAAAAGGCCTATGCAAGCGCACAGATAAACCAAAGTCTGTTTACTTTACCTCTATTTGTTTGCTTTTATGCCTCGTGTTGTTGTCTCTTCTCTTCCGTGGCTTTATTTTTTTTCTGACAAGCTGTCATTTTCTCACAGGCTTTTGTTCTTTCAAATAGCATGAATTATGCTCTCTCTTTCTTTCATTCTCTCTCTCTCTCTCCAGTCACTCTGATCAAGTGTTTTCTGAAGAGTTTGGTGCAGAATGAAAGTGTCTTAGTGAGCCTGCCTGTGAGCTTTCACAATCCTCAGAGTATTCGCACATGCGTCTGTGTTTTAGAAAAACAAATAAAGATCTTCTGTGTAGCTCTTCTTGCCTCTTGTACAGAGAAAATATTGATCACAAAAAGACTAGAATTAATTTGACATTTTAGAGTAAAGAAACTAGAAAAAAAATCTTTTTTTTTAAACTATACGTGAGCTGTTACGTATATTACAAGCAAAATATGACAGTTCCTGCAACAGTCTTCAAGTGATACAATTTTTTTTTTATCACAGATACCAAATTGCGTTTCCTGTCTTAATAGCATATTTCAAATCAGTACAAAAAATCTAACAAATGTTTATTATTTGACTCAAATCACCCTAAAAAAAACTAATATCATCTAATACTATGTTTATATAATATTTTCTATAGTGCATAATGTCAGTGGTGATTATCTAAATATGCTTTGTTATATTACCCATAATGCTTTGTTTATTCTCACTGCACAGACTGCACTGTAAAGGAATGTTTTGGGAGAAAGTGACCATTTTAAACAGGAAAGCAAAGAGAGAGAAAGGTAAATAGGGAGAGAGGGATACAAAAAGGGAGAGGTGAATAACAAATCAGGCCCTTATTTAGAGTGCGCAGACTATTTCTGATCTTATAACGATGTTCCTCTGGATTTACAGCATGCCTCAGGAGACGGATGGCCAAATAAGATCATTATTATTTCCTTGGGCATGTTCTCTCCCTCCTTCTGTGCAAACTGTCATGGGATAACCTTCTGAAAAATCGGCCTCACTAAAACACTACAGCTTTTCATCTCGGCGCATTTCCTTTTGATATCGAACATGCAGCTATGCTGTATTAATCATAGAACTGGATTTGAACGGATGTGACGCTGAATTCAAACTCTGCTTAGATGAAATCCAGAGAGAGAGCAGGGATACTCAGAATGCAGAAAAGGGTTTTGTTGTTTATCTCTTTGATGAAATCAGTTGTTTGTCCTCAATAAACCCTAGAAGTCTGTTGTCTGTAGCTGTGTTTCGATTCTCATGGTCCCTTTGCAGTGTTCACAGCTCCCTATACACATTGAGAAGGGGATATTTGTAAAAATTGCCAGAATTTGTTCATTTAGAATGCCTTGAGATGACACAGTTTAACAAAGATAAATGCAACTTGAGTTACCATACTATCATATGTAAAAAGGAAAGTTAAAAAATCACATTGCTTTTATTTTTTTACAGGATTTGAAAAAAAAATGCAGCAATGAATGTTTTAAACAGTTTTATGCTACACTGTCACATCTCATTAAATTACATGCTTAATTAAACAAGTTATATTTATTTAACTTACTGAATTAAGCATGCAATTTAATGCACTTTGAAACATTTCTTACACATTTGATTAA